GTCAGTTTGATTTGCGTCCATATAGAGAAGTTGCTTCTTCTCATATTCCTCTCTCTGGCCTAGTTCATTCCTGCATTTTATCTATATTGTCGCTGGCTGCTGCTTTTATTGTCTCTATTTGGATTTATATTTACCCTACTCTCTCCGTCTCTTTTTGTCTCTCGTCCTTAATAGCCTTGAGGTATGCATTAATTACTGTGACCATAAAAAGCGTCTCGACCAGCCTGGCTAGGGCAACGTGCGAATTGCATAGGACTTGCTCAGCGCCAGTTCCTTAGACCTTTTACTTTGTATAACATTTTGCATTTTACGGCCGTGAGACTATTGTGTTCTCGCCTACTGCTGTTGCCCAGCTTTGCTTGCCAGAGACCCCTTTTGCTTTTTCTTTCATTGTTATCAACGAAATTTAGCTGCACCGTTTATGTCTCTCAACAGCTTTAGTTGTTTCCCTTTCACTCCAGCTGGAGTTTTCCACTTTATTCGTTGCTAGCTTTAATGGAATCGTACGATTCTTTTTGTTGTTTTTGATGTTCAATTAAGAAATATACCAGCTTCATATAGCATAATATAATGTTTAAAGCTCCTAAATATCAGTATTTCGTTGTTTAACTTCTTTACTTGTGTACTTCTAATCACTTTCGTTAGATATTCTACTCGCTTAATTGTTGTATTAGTGCATATATGTGCCCTTTAATTAAAGCATATATAAACATAAGAGCAAATGTTTCGAATGTCTCTTTGCTTGGCTATTTCTCAATGAAATACAGTTTGATCTGTTTTATATATAGATTATATATTTCTATATATCTCCTCTGCTCGCTGCTTTCTTAATCAATTGAGCCCTATCTTGGCTATGTTTTGCATTGAGCTCAATCTAATTCTACTGATTCAGTTGCTTGTTCATTCCATTCATTTTACTCTCCGATTTTTCCTCTAATCATTTCGCCCATAAATTGTTGCTTTAAAAATGTATTTGTCGGGCAAGCATTTGACTAACAGATGAAATCTCATGTTGAAAGCTCATTTGTTTTATGACAGCGCCTAGGCAAACATATGCGTACTGCTAACCGCTTACAACACCTACAACTCCTGCTGAAGCTCTCCCCTGCTCTAGTTATTTGACACGCTTTTCAACCTAAATACAAAATGTACAAAAAGGCCAGACTACTTCTTGCTGTTGCCGCATTCATTACATTGTTTGCTGCTGCTGTTGCCTTTGCCTTCTGCATACACACATCCATACACCTCTTTATCAGCACCCACAGTCACACACACACGCGCGCACAACATAATTGCGCTGCTGCCAAAGGAAAAGTCGTTGCCTACTTTTTGGATATTTTATTTTTATTTCTGACAACACAAAAATATTTAAAGTGTCTCACCATATCAACTTTATTATGCGCGCCAAAAAGTTGCAAAATTAAGAGACAACTCCCCTAATAACAGCCGCAACCTCCTTCAGCCACCACCCACGCCCCCTGCTGCAGCTGCCTCTGCCTCTGCCTCTGCCACTGTCGCAATTGCAGGCAACGCACAACAAAAGCTTAAAACCTAAAGCAGAAACTGCTGTGTATGTGGTTGTGTGTGTGTATGCCTTTCACCTTGTTTATCTCGTTTTGTTTTGGTGCCTTCTTTTTTGGCATAGTGCGAAAGCAACCGAAAAAACTTGCTTCTGACATCTTTTTTGGTTTGCTTGCAGCTCGATTTTGTGTGCCTGTCTCTGGCTGTATTCGTGTATGTGTGTGTGTGTGTAAGTGTGTGTATGGTCATAAGCTGCGCGTGTTGATGTGTGCGGTTGTGTGTTTACAATGCGTGGCGCGTTTGTCGCTTTCGTTTGCTGTGCGCCTGGTGCGAATTATTTTCTGTGTGTGGGTGTAACGCACACAGATACAGCCCGCATACACCTACGGTGTGTGTTGCTGCTCTTTTGTGTTAGCAACATGTTGCTCAACTATGTTGACAGCGCAGGTTTTGATGTGCTTTACTTATATGACAGACAGAGAGAAAGAGGGACAGCTGGGTAGACAAACAGTTGGCAATTTTAAGCTGCTTAGCGGCGCAGGCTGAGTTTTCATTTTCATTAAAATGCCAGAGGTGAATCCGCAAAGTAAATCCTTTTTGGCTGCCAGCAATTCAGTTCCTGTTGCTACTTGAGCAGTTGAGTGTAGGCGGCGAACAAACAAAGATCAAATCTTATCGGCAATCATTTGATGCGCACTTGAGCGTTGCCTCGGCAACAAAAACAACAGCAGCAACAACCACAGCAAACATAATGAGATGTAGTCCCAGCAGGTGGGCAGCCGTCTTATCAAAGCGGATATTCAGCAAGCGGACTCTAGCAGCAACTCCGGCTCCAGCGACATCGTCATGGAAATTCTTCATTAACTCAACTTGGGCGCCTCAGCAAGAGCAAATAAGTGTACGTTATTAAAGAGGAGGCGCAGGTGGACCACTCGGGGAGTGGGCGAGCAAAGGCAGCTGCTGTTGTTGTGGTTGTTGCTGTATATGTTTCGCTTGACGACTGCGAGATAACGGTAAATGAATATGCTGCAATTTGCACGCCCACATAATGAGCAAGGCGGGGCATAGAATAATAACAACAGCGAACAACGACTAACAAAAGTCGATAAACATAAAGCCAGGCGGAAGGCGAGTAGCGGCAGGGCCCAGATAAGTATGCTACACTTGCCAGCGGCTCAACTATGTGTGTGTGCGTGAGAGTTACGGCTTGCATATGTGTATAAGCGTATGTGTATGTTTGTGCTGCAAAAGTAAATTAAAACGATTTTAATTACGGTTGCCAAGACGATGAATGAAAATGTCAACGCTGAGGCAATCGTTCCAGCAAACCCTTTTAAAGGCAACGCAGCAGGTGGGCAGGCTGAAGCAGAAGCATAAGAAAGAAGCAGAGTGAAACGGAGGCAATGTTTAAAAGCGATTCGCTGTTGCCAACGCACCACAGCAGCAGCACTCGTGTAATTTGTTGCATGTGTACACGGGAGCAAGTAGCCTCTTGCTTAAATGGTTTATACGAGATTTTAATTTTCAAGCAGCAACAAATTTGTGCAGCAGCTGTTGTTGCTGTTGCTGGCTATTCAAAGCAAAGTCATGGCCAAGAGTAGCAACAGAACAGCAAGAACCTTGGCAAAAAAAATGTTAAGCGTATCGTAGCTAAGCAAACAGCCGCCATTTTTGTGAAACGCTTTTATTTTTGTTTTTTCGTCTATTCATTTTTGCTTATGCGGCCCTTTTTTTACACCTTATTAACGGTTTCCATGGCAAAGTTTGCCTGAGTAGGAGGCGTGAAATTTTTGCAGTTGAAAAGCTAAAAAGCTGCACGAACCGCACGCAAAAAATGAGCAAAAGAGAAACTGTCGCGCGCTGATTAACTTGACACCATTTGTAGAAGGGTTGGCCAAGAGCGGAAGGCAAGGTGTGCAGTACCCTTTCAGGGGGAATTGAAAGCAAGGCATGCTGGCTTTGTCATGCAGCCGACAGGCAACACCTGTCGCTGTTGTCTGGGCCTCCTCGCTCCCCACTCCACGCTCCCCTCTGCCCGCTCTTTAGCTGCGGCTACCAAAAAACCACGCTGACATTTCCTTTTGCTCAACCGCTGACGTTTCCCCTTGACGACAGTTACACACCGCGGTTCCAAGCTGGCCCTCCCTAGCCTCCTGTCATGCCTGCGGTGGTCTGCTGTCTACAAATATCAGTTTCATGCTGCATTTTGGCCAAACTAACCATAGATGAGTAATACGTCCGTATATTCTAAGTGAGATTATGGTTAATTTAAGAAATGGCAGTAAATAAAAATAATTAGGTAATTAGGGAATATGATTTGATATATAGAATACGAGCGTAGTCTCGCTTGGCAACTGAATTGATTAAGGCGAGTTCAGGACTTCAAAATTAGTAAACTGTGCAGTAGCTGCCACTTCCGACTGGCGTTCGGTAGTCAAGTTCCGCGACAATGCCTGCTGCATATAAAGCAAGGCACAAAAATTGAAGTCGCTGACAAACTGTAACAGTTGACTCAAAATATGTTGACAACTTAACAACGGCAATCCTTACGCAGTCTACTCCGGCTGCTAGGAGTCCCCAAAGTAACTGATGTAAACTTTAAGCAACAACTGGAACAGTTTTGACGAGTTTTCCTTCGCGCACAAACTGCAAACTTTGCGATGCATTCCGATGAGTTTTAATATGCGGCAAGCGCAGCGCTAAATGTCAACCAAAGTGTCAGCCAAGGTGACGACAGGACAGTTGACAGGGGCCACAGGAGGCTACGCATAAGACGGAGAGAGTGAGCGAGAACAAGGAAATGTTGCAACTGCAGCTGAGTTGGGCATGTTTGCATAATGAGATGTTGCATAAACACAAGTTTTCGATGATTCCTTTAACGAGAGGCGTGAAGCAAAGTCAAGGTCAGTGAACTTTTGTGTGTGCGAATTATATTGTTGTTTTTTGTAGAAATTTTTTGAGCTTTAAGTATATTTATACGCAGATTTATATCCTTATGTAATGAACTATGACAGTCCATATTTTTAAGAAATGATCCATTTTATGTATATAAAAACTGATTGAAGACAGATAAATATTAAAGATCGAATATAGAAAAGCTTACTGTGTGCTAATAAACACTTTTAAAGTTTAGTAAAATATAAAATTTATATAAATATTTTTTAAGGCTTAATTGATTATTATATTAACCTGACTAAAATTATTAAAAGCCCAAATTCTCTCACTTATAAATGATTTCGGTAACAATTCTGATTGCAAGACAAACAAATCTCTTAAATATTTGGATTTTTGTAGGAGCAGCCAAGGGCTTAAAAACAGTGAATAAATTTATATAAACTACAAAGGAATTTTTATAAAAATCATTTACAATTCACGAGATTGTTGGCAGTAAAGTCTGATCACAAAGGATTTTGTCGACACTCCTTTGACTGGAATAAAAGGCTAACTAACTAAAATACAAATTGTTAGCATAAATTTACCTGTGATAAAATTCAGATTTTTCACACTTCCCGCACTTATTTATCTGGTGACCGGTTGCCCTGCTTCACTTTCCGGTGCGAAATGCAAACGTTTTGCTTACTTGGCTAACTTGGCCAAAGTTAGAGCATAAAATTCAATTACGATTGCGATTGGGAATAGCGAATTGCGAATGGCAAATGGCGAATGGCGTATAAATTTCAACACTTGGCGCGCCAAATGTTTACGAGCGGCATTTGATTTGCCAGCATTTCTTATCGCTGTTATCAGTCGCTGGCTGGCTGACCATAAAATTAGTGCGCAGACACAATAAAACGGAATAAAACGGGGTCCTCTGAGCCAATTTGCCAACGGACAAAGAAAAAAGCTGTGGTTTTTTTGTTCAGTTTCAGGTTTTGCTTTATGACACTTTGACGCGCCAAAGATACGCACGCAGCTTGAAGATACTTTTGAGCCGATGCTTTGTACTGGGGCCTGGACAACCGTTCTAGTTGAAAACGCGCAAGGAACTGTTTGTTGAAACTCTACTGTGCTGGCATTTTGTGACTGCGAAGCGAAACTTGGTGCTTGGCAAACTTGGCATCCACCAGGACGCATGCGCTGGACGAGGCAGACTTCCAGGCTGGCCGTTGTTTACTTGGCTGTGCAACTGGTGGTTGCCTACCAACAGGCAGCAAGGACGACGGACCTATTTGTGTCTGGCTGCTGCGTCCTGTTCCCATGGGCAGCCATATGTGACGGCTTTGACTTTGGCTCTTGACGAAGTCGTGGGGCGGTTGACGTTGTCGTGACAACTTGATTTCTTTGTAATTTGGCTCGACCCCAGAGGTTTTCATTTCAAATTGCTTTAAACTTAATGAAATTGTGATTTTGATTTACAGCTGCTGCCAGCGGCAACCTTTGAACTATTTATTTAAATGGCAAAACTCAATGCCAGAGCATTTATCTAATTATGGCAGAGCTTAGCACTGAGTTGTGATTCAGCAACCAGAGTTGAGAGCCAACTGAATGACATTACAGAAAATCCGCTTAGTGACACAAAGTTGCTGATATGTTTATACATACTGAAACACATACAGATACGGATGCAGATACAGATACAGATACAGGTACAGATACAGATACATTAACACTTACAGTTTGCAGAGACGGATACAGATGTATTTCGAGTTTGCATGCGCATTGTTTATGCAAGCGCATTAAGCTGGGTCTCAGTTGTCGGCTGTGATATGCAGATACAATGAGACATAGATACAGATATTTGGCTACTGCAGATGCACCCTTATCACACCCACAAGGAATTTCTGGACTTTGCCTGTTGCTGCTGCGTGTTGCGTGTTGCGGTTCTCTGTTTTGATGCTAAGTGCATTAATGGATAGTAGCGAAACCGCACTAGGAAACGCCCTCTTGTGAGCTGCTGTTGTTTGTTGGGTGGGTGTGTCAGCATCTTTAGGCCAGCTACAAGCTGTAAACAGCTGGCGAACAACTGTCAGCGTGCAAGTCATAAAAAGGGAGTCAGTCGAGCGCTAAATACGCAAAAGATACACCCATAAGGTTCGGCGGCGACGGCTTTGATTGCCACATGAGTAACTCATTAAACAGAGTGCGAACAAAGGAGAGCGAGATAAACAATATCTGTCTGCCTCACATTTACCTGCAAGTCAAGTGTAACTTAATGCGCAGCTAGCCAAATTGATATCGTATCTCATAGCTTATAAAAGAGACAACTAGATGCTCTCATGATTACTGTTTGCAGTCGCAGAAGCTATTTTGGCATTGTCATCAAATATGTATAACATAGCGTCGAATATGATTTTGTTTTTTTAAGGTACCTGCAGTATCTAATTTATGGATACAGTCGATATATTATTATATATAAATATATAATCATCTCTCTTCACATCCTGACCAAACTCCATTCAATCTACTCTACATTATATAGCTCGCTCGCTATTTGTAACATTTGCTTTGCTAGAGCATTCAATCTTTGACTTATCATGGAAAGTCGTTTCATTTTGATTTTGTTCTACAATGTCGCGTGCAATTTTCTTTTTATTTGCAATACATTTTATTGTTTATTTAGCGCATTGTTTAAAGGGGATTTTTTTTATTTTGCTTCATGTTGTTGCCTGTAGATTGTGTTCCGATTTAATGGCTGTAAATTGAAAACGGATTTTTTTTCACAGGCGCAAATTGCGAAAAATGTTTTTTCGAAAAAGATGTGCGAGAGCACCATCCACAGCAGATGAAATGACAAAAATTTAATGGAATCTACGGCGGCTGATGCTGACATTCAATTTCAAATGGCCATTTTGATGGGGAACAATGCTTTTCTCAAGGTAAAAATTGATATAAAGTGAAACATTTCAGATTATATATAAATATAAATATATATGTAAATTATATGGACATCCTTTGAACTCTTTAAATTTAAAATGCTGTTCCTCATAGTTTTGCAGTACTGACTGCAACACTCTTACTTATTGGTATTCGAATATAGGAAAAAGCATGTGCAGTTTGATAAACTTTTGTTTACACAAATTTATGTTTTAGTTCAATGAAATATAATAAATAAATTTCAAAGAGCTGTTTCCAGCTCTTTCCCTCGGTTCTTGCCAAATTTAACAAATTTTGTATCAAACGAAACAATTTGAAATTCCTTCGTCTCTCAGTTGCAAACGGAAATTTGATTTGTTTTCTGATAAATGGCAATTTATTTTACTTATTTAAGTCGCATATTTCCTGCTCGCCACCCACGACCCTCCCTCCGCCAATTCAATTACCAAATTGATTCGAGCTTTTCTTCTTCTTGTTTGTGCCTTTTCGCACGCCCTGTGGCTGGTATACGCTTCAATTTGCTGAGCCGCAGATAATTGAATGATTTGAATTTTTATATTGAATTTTTTGGTGCGTTACATGAGCGGCTTTTCATATTTTTCCCAGCATTTCCTTTGCCATTTTTCTATTTTGCTGGTCTTCTTCTCTTTTTTGCTCTTTGTATAGATTTTCTTTTCTATTAAAATGTAAATTGTTAGCGAATTGGAAAATTGCTTATCAATTGGCTGGCATATGCTTTCTGGGATCAAACGCTGCCTTAATTGAAGCCTTAGAAGCCTCATAGGGGCACAAGCTAGCTTCCCCTTCTCCACTTACTTCTCGCGAGGGAGGCTTGGGCTGCTGTTTAAGCTGCAATTAAACATTTAATGAAGTTTTTGCTGAAGGCAACTTAATTGAGTTGTTTTTTCTATGCATAAGCTACATATATAGACATGCAGCTATATCAATTATTTTTTGTTTCCACTCAAGCGTAGCAAATTTTTGAGCATAGCGCTAAAATGTATGGGTATTGAAGCCCGCATTGTTGGTATAGATGGCGCAATGCGGGGGCGTGGCAATGCTGCAGAAGCGATGCAGCAGACAGCTGATGCTGGTCAAAGAAGAGAAAAAACCTAGACTATATGTCTGAGCGACTGCGTGTCTCGGTGTGTAAGCAAGGTGAAAACCCATTTAGTTATTGCTTCTCGGAAGGCAACTAGAACACATAAAAGAATCTCAAGTGTGTTGTGTTGTGTGCGAGTATTAGGCATTGTTTCGCAATCGAGTTCCAATTGAAAAGCAATACAAATACTCACTGCGGGTGCCACTTCAAAAGCAAAGGTGAAAGCCTGATGCACAGTCTCTATAATTAACCAGAATTCACGCCGTTGAGTGTCGGAGATGCAAAGGGCGTTTGCCACCCGTTGAGCAGGTAGACCGATTGCCTGCCTCTGCCTTTCAGCTGTGCCATATGCGTCGCATACCTCGACTCGAAATGAATTAAGTATATTAAAATTGTATATATACTCGTCTAATATATATTGTGGGCGCAGGCGCGCAGCTTGAGACTTTAGAACTCAATACTTCATGCCAGACACACTGACGCAAGCCACATGCTGATTCTTTTCTATGCATTGCGTTTTTAGCCAAAGTCCAAAGCATTTCTAATGCAAAACGTGTGGCGTTTCAAAGGGAGATGGGGGCGTGGCAGTGGCAGTCGCACGTTCGCATGTGTCTGGCAGCTGTCTTTCAGAGGCAACAGCAGAAGAGAAAAGCGAAGGGAATTAATAACAAAATACGCGCTCGCTGACAGTAATTGAAGTGTGACATTATTTCAAATATGATTACGAGCTGTTCGACTCGTTGCGACTGAAACGACATTGAATGTGTTGTCTGTCGTGGCGGCAAATTACAAAACAGAGCACCAACTGAATGTGGTGCAAACTGTAAACGGATGCAGGTCAATTAGATGCCAAAAGCTATTGATGCAGTCGTTACAATATGTGTAAAAAGGGGAGAACTCAAAAAGAGAAGGACAGAATATCTGGAAACAACATGTGAAATGCAAAGAAGGGACTATGTTAAATTACTCCTTGGGAAAACAAATACTAAAGATGGAGCTTGGATCCATTCTTGCTAGATCTAAAAGTGACTGTGCCTGACATGCTAAATATAGAGGTAAGATGTATGCTTGGTAGAGAAATCAAATCAAATATATTCAAAGAATTGTAGGCTATAAATTTCTCTCTCTTAGTTCATAGTTGACAATGCTGACAGCACACAGTACAACATTCTCCTTGGCTAATCTTAAACCCTTCAAGCTACTTTAACTTTTAGTGTACACAGCATTTCCTGATACAATTTTAGAACTAAAGTCGAAAGACATTCGAGCTGCAGGCGCCTTGTTCAATTCGAATATTACCTGCCACACTTTCACCTTAGCAAACAGCACACAACACAACATGCACACACACAGCTCACAAGTAAGTCCTGTATGGCAATCCAATTCAATTCCAGGACGAAGCTCATATCAATAATTCGGAAGTGCGGTGCACATAAAAGTCAAGAACTTAATTTCCAGCTGCTGTCATTTTAGGAACAATTTCAGTTTTATGACTTTTTGCCAACAGAGTGAGAGTGGACTACCAGGAAAAACTTTCGATAACCGTGGTCATATCCGGCTTAAGCACACACACAGACACACACACGCGTGCGTTGCTTTGTTGACTTTTGTGTAAAGTCGCAGCTTAAAACAAACAAAATGCAACTGAAAATGTATTTGATGCACGTTGATGCTTCTGGTGCTGATGCTCTTGTTGTTAAGCATAGCATTGTTTTTGCAGCGACAACATAGACAGAGTTCCACCTGCACACACACACCCACACACCCACACACAAAAACACACACACAGACACAGAAACAGCGACTACACGTGATATGTGCCATCAGCTGCAACTTTCGACTTGCAGCTTCTGTCTTAGCGGTGCGCTTATCGAGCCAAACTCAAAGATCTTTTTGTGGTTGGTTTCCATTATGCGCTGTATGAGACCTGAAAATGGGGTATATTGGTTGCATCCGAAATTTTAGTTGCCATAGTTACTGCTATAATTGGATAATTGAAGCTAGAGTTTGGAAACTTATAAGCTGGCATATGTGAATATCTAATGATTGTATTTACTTGAGTTTTTTAAAAGAATCTCTTAGAATGTCTGTCTAGCTGTCTCTAGCTGTCGAATGTTCTCTACAAGACTGAGAGAGAACTTGTAATCAGAGCGATAAGTTCGCAGATTTTTGATAATAGGCGTACTCCAGGCTATATATCGAACATTGCTCTATCTGTCTAAAAGAAAGAACTCAAGCCGGCTCTTTTCAGCTTAATACTTTCCAATTACAATTCATACAGGGTATTTGACTGTCGCTCAACAATGATTTTCACATGTTTTGGTTTGTTTTTAGTTTCGGTTTCGGTTGTGTTTGGTCGGGTGTATATTTGTTTATTTGTCTCTCTGTCTGTTTGTGCGTCTGTCAGAGGCAGGTAAGCGGCTGCTGCGTTTACCTATGCACAAGTTGAGCAAATAGAGTCGTTAAGTGCTGTAGCAAGTTGCCAGAGCAACGGGACTTTTACTTTGTATTATCTTGATAACAGCTCAGTTGCAACAGTTGCTGCTGCCGTTGTGGCAATAGTTGCCGCTGCTGCTGTTCCTTCTTGCTGTTATTTATTCTGCTCTACAAATGACAAGGCTGCTTTATGCTGCCAATCCGGTGACACGATAAACAAGCTCAAAAAACTCACAGTATCAGCCAAGGGGAGAGAGAGCTTTTGCTAATGCCTGACTAGCTGCCTCCTCCTACTTATCTCACGACTGCTGTCGCTGTTGTTGCTGTTGCTGCCTTTGGCCTGGCAGCTCTTTTTCCTGTCGCTGTTTTCCACATTTATCCTGTTAGTGACACCTTCTTTGTCCATGCATTCTTCCCTCTGCCGCCTGCCGTCTGCATGTCAGTCTTCATTCAGCGAGTCCCCCTCTCTCTCTCTATCTGTTATCGTCGTCACATTAAATTCAAAGCCACTGCTTGCATGTCTTTTATCCCTACACACACTCTCTGTTGGCCACAGTCAAAGTGAAAAAACGTGGAAATTGATTTTCTATTTTGCCGTGTGGATTCCGTGTTCTCCCATTCTCCCGTTCGTCAGTGATTGTCAGTGGCAGCTACACGTGATTGAGTCCTATCTTTAGTTTTGTCACTTCAACTGCTGGCAGCTACTTTAAATGTCAGCACGCTACCAGTTCCAGCTCCACTGCCCCTCGCACGTGCTGCTCTTGCAAATTTTGCTGGTTTTCTTTTCTTTTCCTTTATTTTTTGGTTTTTCGAATGTCTTCTCCATAGTCTTGTCGTTGAAAGGCTTATCCAACACGCGTGTTAGCTGCATTATGCGAGAAACTGAAGCGGTTTGCACTTGCCCTTTGCCTTGCCACTTGCCCCTATGCTACAGCTGCTCTTTTCGGTTAAGTGCAACACATGTTGGCACTTTGTTGGGATTTCATTGCACAACCGACGAATTTAGCGCTTGTTTTAAGCACATTTTTTGTGCTTAACGCGTCAGCAAAGGGTTGGTGTTACTAGAATATCTTCAATGTGAGGGGACTTTAGCAACTGTTAGCAGAAGATAAGAGAGTGGAGTTATTGTGTGTACAAGTTTGATCAAACATTGACTAACGTTTTGATCAGACCATCTGCTTTGTAACTGAACTCGTGATCCCTGTTTTCCACATCAACAAATTTGAATATACGATATATATCGCTCCCTTCTGTTCATCTCTCCCTGTCTCTCTTCCTCTAGCCATCCTTATCTCTTTATATGTATTAGAGTAGAGTTTTGGGTTTGATCCCGAAGCTTTATAGTAACTCCTCCCCTACAATAGTCGCCTAGGCCAGCAAAAGTCACAAGGATAACAAAAATGTAACAATTTAGTCTGCCCCTCTACCTGGGCACCTGTAAATGAATTTGTATATTCAACATCT